AAAAAAAAAAAAAGAACAAGTATGGAGTTTTTTAATTTCCTTTCTTTCTTTTACCAAGTATTGTTGATTGTGTGCTCAGCGCCTTTGCAATCATCTTCGCCCCAGTGAAAATGCACCTCCATTAGCTCGTACACGTCGTCTGAAAGGGGACCGCCGCAAATCGTGGATGGAATTCTATTTCCAGTTAAATATATTTTAGCTAGATATTCAAAAATATGTTAGAATTTGGGGGATTTTTAGAATTTCAAGTTTTGATCTTAATACTGTGCATTCCTCGATCGAATCAATTTTCCAATATATTGAAATTATCCTTACACTCATTATCTTATTTTTACATTGTTTTGTAGATACTCCGGGTTTCTATGTACTTGCAAGAAATTTTAGAATTTGATATTGCGGAGAATGCGTGTAAGTATGAAAAAGTGTACAAAATATGTGAATTGTAATGATTTTTATAATATTTGGTGTACAAACAAAACAATTTCCTACCGAGATGTTACTTGTTTAATTTTATTTTCAAAAATACAAATTTTTATAAAAGTCCACAGTTGTAACAGTTGTGTAACAATTATGTAACAGTTATGTAATAAATAATTCAACAAGATGTAATTCAGAAATTATTTAGAAGATTATTTTAATTGCAAATAAAAGGACTGTATGTGTATATATATGTGTGTGTGTGTGTGTGTAGTCCTTTGTACAATATAAATTTTAAGGCATATATATATAAAATATAAATTTTATTTTTGATACTTATAATTAACTGCCAATTAAATTGAGCAACTTTTTTTAATTGCAATATAATTATTTGATGCGATCGATATAGAAAAACTGCAATATTTTATCAATTCAACCTGTACTGCCAGTATTTAACAATCGTGCTTCTCCATCGTTTAACCAATGACCATTTAAAACAAGCGGAGGATACCTGCGTTTCCGTACTAAACGATCGTCTAGATTAATTGGAGATTGACCCGTCGTTGGTAAGCCTTGAAGAAAAAATTAGATTTACCAATAGGACTGTTTGCAACACATTGCATGACATATAACCTAGTAAGAAATATTAAAAGCATAGATTATCTTACCAATTAGACCTGTATAGTCGGACATCGTTGCAAGATCAATTAAAAATTTTACGGAATTATAATATTCTGGTTTCGCACATGCTCGTAAGTAACTTTACTTTTTCTTTGGAGATGACATAATGAATAAGATATTGTACATATCGTGCAGACGAGAATTGTTGCTTGTGTGACACATTGATAAACAAGTTACTTTCTAAAATATGGATAGGTAAATAGATAGATTGAATTAGAATTGTAGCAGTTATCGAAAATAATTTCGATTGTTTGAAAATAACTTAAAAATTAATGAAACAACTAATAATTCGAGAAAATTGAGTAATTAGAGCAATTTCAAAGGTTGAGGAGTAACAAATACAATAATTTGTAAAAACTGAATGAAAGAAGCTAAGGATCATCAGTAGTTCTATTAATAACTTCTTATCACAATCAATTCTTTGTTCAGATCATTTATATATATCAATATATATATCATTTTTAAAATACATATATATATATATATATAATATTATAATATTATGTATATTTAAATTTAAAATATGTTATTAGCATAGCACATAAGACAAATGTTTATATGAAAAACTTGCGATATTAATTAATATTGTTTAATATTGATCCTCAATATTATAAACAGTTTTTTAATAAAAATATTTGTTATGTAAATTAATTATAAGATACATCGCAAATGAATATATAAAATCAATGCAACAAAGCTTATGCAACAAAGTTCATAAATTAATTCTGTACAACATAAATCGTTTGTAAGATTTTATAATAGTTTATACACATATACATCGTTTGTATCTCCACAGATCTTTCTTCAGGTATTTTACTAAAATCCATGAACTTAATGTCGTGTCGTGTGTTTAATCAATAATCACACGATTATTATTTGTGCTATCCATTAATTATTTTAACAGTATGATAACACATTGTTGAAGAATCTGAATTTTTAGAAATTTTTATGAATTTTATCTGAGCTATTTGACTATTTATTGCAGTAACGTGTGAAAGAAGCAGCGTTAAATGTCATTATTTCTTTAATTATTGAAAAATACAAAAGTATTATAAAATATTTTATTTGAGAAATGCTTGATTTCATAGGAAAAACTAAAATTTCGTTTCATTTTGGACCTATCTTCTTTTTTTACTAAATTTTATCTTGCTCGACCCTATTTAGAATGATTGGAAAGATTGTAGGATAAGAATTGTAAGTAAAAAAGTGAAAAGTCAGGTTCGATCGAATTTCAATCCAATTTGATGCTGATACAAATCTATTTATGAAACGAAATAGGCATACCTAATCAAATCACTTAGAATTAATTAAGAAGTAATTGGTACTTTTGTATAATATTTTATAAAAAATTAGTAATAGAATGTAATTTTATTGTAAGAAAATGAAGTGAAGAGATAGTAATTGTTATAACATAATTTATAACATAATTTAGAAGCAAATTCTTTCAATAGTAAACTGATGGTAACATGATGAATAATCGAATGACATTATTATATATATTTTATTTACATATATTTGACCTTAGTTTCCCAGATAATTGATAGATAACTTCAGAGAAATTTTTGAAAACTTTGATTTGATTTAAATTTTAAAAATAGCTTCAAAAATGTTTACAAGAAAAATTTTTGATAAATCAAGAATTAAGAAAATATAATCAAAATTTTGCGAAAAAATTCAGAAATAAAAATAAGGAGATTATTCGAAATAGGCATCCGATGGTTTAGTCATAAGTCGTATGGATTAGTTTAAAACAACTTAACGCATACACAAGATATAATATCTAATGTTGAAAATATTTTTACGTATATTTGCATTCCATTGGTGTAAAGTGCCGGCCGCCTTACGGTGGTAGGATTAAAAATTTTAATTTTAATTTCAATTTTTTAATGTTATATATATTTTATAATATATAAATTTTTAATAATATAAATAAAATTTTTAACATTATATATCTTGTGTATTATTTATAAAATATTTTATATTTTATATATTATAATCGTTGAATTTACATGGATTTAATGCTTTATCTTTGTTGTTACTTTTGCGTGTTTTATTATAGTTCTTCTTCACATACAGAAAAAGTTCGTAGAAAATGCTTTTCATACACAACAGTAATAATTTTTTTCATCTACAAGAGATCTCATCTTCCCAAATTATAGAAAATGAGATTTTCATTGGTATTTCTTCATCGATCATGTTTTTACATTTCTTCTGGCATCCACAATCTTCGTTTTTAAACTTTTTTTTAAGTTTACTTGTTCTATCCCCGAATTACGAAGTTGTTTCTTCTGTTCATAACCCAATTTTCTGTGAAATTTTAATTTACGTTATTCATTGCCAATAATTATTAATTGCCAAAAATAAGCTAATAATTTCAGAATGCAAAAACTTATATAAACATGAATTATAAAAATAAATTGACCTCGTCAGTTTACCAAATATGAAAAGATTATCGTGTACAAAATTATATATCACTATAACTCGAATTGCTCAAGATTTACTAAAGAAAGCTGCTGAAGAAAATTCAACTTGATCTTGATTTGTATGATCAAATTTTAAAAATGATGTTCAAGTTCCAATAATTCTTAATGCTACTTCATTTACAATTTGTTTTTCTTGTAGTGTAAATGGCCATTCTTCGACAAATATGCCACAACTCATAGATAAATGCTTAAATACGAAGCAAAATAGTAAAAAATCACGATCCTGGTCCTCTTCGGTACCATAAGACTTTCGTCTGAAACATTTTTTCATATTTCTGATACAAAAATAATCACGTATAGACATTTAATTCTCCTACTCGGATCTATGTGACCTGAATGAATATTATATTTCAATAAATATTATTAAAATATACATCATTTTTAAATATTACGTTTTATAATACAATAAAATTTTACCATTCTTTGTATGTTTCACATTTTTTATAAATAGAGTATTGCGAAAAAAGGAGATTGAAAGGGACTGAACGTTGTTAGGAATTAGGAACTAAAATACAAATCGGAAAACGCGGCTTACAGTACAGTTAGTATTGCAACATTTTTACATCAATAAGTTTCTGTGAAAGTCTTGTCTTGTTCTTGTAAAATAAAGTGTAATGTTTCAATTACCTTAACAACGTGATGAAAAAGTGAGGAAAATAGCAGAGTTAAAATGGACGAGCATTGCTCTCTCTGTTTTGAGTCTTTTTTACTTTATGAACCGGAATGGACACAGAGCTTGGACGTTTACGTATATTTCATTTTTGACCAGTTCTCATTGAATGAATTATAATTACTATCCAATAGATTGGATGAAGCCCCTTCTTGCAAAAAGAAACGCTCGCACGATATTCTCAAGAGAATATTTACACTTGTCGATCAGCGGTTGATTCACACTTCAAACTGACTCTATTCTATGACCAACGTAATGATTCACCTCTTATGAAATGTCAGTGTGTACAGTGAATTGATAAAAAATTGTTAGCATAAACGATAAATCTACTATGATTTAATTAAAATTTCTTAGATATTACTTACTTCATATTATTTTATATGTATATTTATTTTTATAAATCAAACATTTTTTAAATTATATTTAGTTAATAATGGATTAGTAAACAACATGAAATCGATTTCTTACGCTACAGCATCATCCGTAGCGAATAAAATCCTTCTTCTATTGAGATTTTGTTGCTGTCTACAGTTTCCCAATATGTTTTTCCATTTGTCGTCACAAAGATTCCTAAATGCGTCTATCTGGTGTAAAAGTAAAAGATAACACAATGTCGTGGGTTACGCGATGACAGACGTTCTAAATAGAAAATACCTGACGAGCGGATATCTTCGTTATAGTAGATGGAATAATCCAAATGACGCATTCGTTGTACGGTGAAACGGTGAGAGATCCTGAATAAGTATAATAACCGTGACCCTTGCACGATTCTAACATCCAAAGCAGGCAGTCTATTAAAGATTAATAATCTATTAAAACAATAAAATCTTCTAAATGACAGAAACTAGTAAAACAAAGAAGAAAGAAAATAACTGGTACCAGGTGAAATCCTGGTGCTGCTTCCCATTTTTTTGATATTCGTCAAGCTGTTAGTAATCTTTGTTAGAGAAGGATTATCAGGAATTCCGGGGCAACCAATCATCTATTTTGAGTAATTTAAAATATTCAACAGATTATAAGTATAAGTAAATCGATTAGATTAATTATGATACGTATACTCACCTGCATGAGATAAGAGAGTATCGCAATTCCATCTGGTTTGTCGAAGCACTTCTCTATCGATCCGTAACGAGTGTTCCAATGCATTATTTGCGCTTCCATAGAGTACCTGCGTTCGATGGAATTGAAATACTTGGAACGTAGGTAATTTTGCGACGCAGAATTTTAAAAAGACATTCGCTAACCAGATCCCGTTTATAGAATGTTCTGCGCCCAATGAGTTGTCCGGGCCCCAACGAAATTGTACATTCATGAATTGAAACTCGTCCTTACCCAAAGGACCGCCTCGCAACGTAGGTAATGTTCTGTCGGAAAACTCGATGCTAACTGAAACAGATGAGTTTTCATTTCTTTCAAAAAGAATATTCCTAATGTAAAATTCAGGTAATTTATGACATTAACCGGGAATAAAAATTACCAGTTTTACCAGTATTCGTCATCGTAGCTGTACCTTCGTTTAACCAATAGTTCGTCATGTATAGAGGCAAAAATTTTTTCTTCCAAGTAGCTGTTTTGCACAGATTAATCGGTGATTGTCGCCATTTAGGTAATCCTGACGATGACGTCGATAAGGTGGCAGTCTTAGTAACTTGAAAAATCGCCAAGTTTGAAAGTCTTTGAACGATTTAGAAACTTGTCCCAACGACGATACATATGTTTCTTTATACCTACGTGCTTTCTTTTTTCCTTTAACATTTTTTTTTCGTTTCACAGAATTGAACAGATTCTTGGAGGGAATATCACAAAAATTTCCATCTACATGGCCAGAAATAGAACAAAGTAACGAAAATGAAAAAAAAATTACAGTACTGACGACATGTTCCGATCTTTGAAATGAAGCTTGTTGCACATTAGATGTCTAATTACATAACGAACGATATTCCTTCGATATTTTAAGATATACTTATTAATAGCTTTCTATCGTAGTATATAAGTAGTATGTAGTATCGAGAGACCGACAAATTAACTATATTTTGTATATTTTCGACACATTAAACTTTTATTCGATACACGTGTATGTATATACAATGTATAATAAATATACGTGAGAACCATTTAAAAGTTTTAATCGATCCAATAGTTCAGCTTTTTAGTTGACGTAATAAACTACACGACCGTCTAGTTTTTGCACTTCTCGATAATTCTCCTTGATGCACATGCCTTGTTTGTCGCGTAACATCCGAAACAATTCTGCTTGATTTTCTGAAATCCTGACTGGTTCTGGGAAAACGATCCAAGTAACACATTCGTAATACGGAAAGGTCGTGATCGAACCTAGATACGTGTAATAACCGGATGTTTGACAAGCCTGTCTCATCCAGCACAAGCAATCTACAATGGAATAAATGGAACTGAAAAGTGAATACACACATAGCTAACGAGATGTTACCGATTTATCTTAATGTATTCTTTTTATACGTTTCAAATGCTTAAAAAGTTAAAGGTGGCATACTTGGTAGTAACTTCACGCACGAATCAGACTGTATAATTTTGTACAAGTTGTCCGTGATTTTGGCAAACAACGGATGTTCATCCCAAATTGGAACTTGATAAGCTTGCAGGAAATAGGAGCAGATCGCGAGCCCATCGTGCTTGTCCCAACAGTTGTCGATTGTTTCGTATCTTTTATTAAAGTGTATTGCTTCTGCCTCCATCGTGAACCAAGTGCCATTCAGCGTGTGCCCCGCGCCTTTGCAATTCGACGAACCCCATCGGAATACTACTTCTGACAATTCGTAAACGTCATTTGCCAGTGGACCACCGTGAATCGTCGCTGGGCTTTTATTTTCTTCCAGTGTTATTTGAACTGGCAGACGAGCAGTTTCATCATTGGTCAAAGGCGTGAACATGTGACAGAGGAATAATAAAACTTGAAACATCCGTATAAATTGGTTTTTATAAAATTCTTAACTACTTAATCTCAGCTCTGTGAGCCATAATCTCGCAGGACGTTGAAAGTTTGATATAAATAAATTTTTGCTAAGGATATTGGGTCACCTGTGCTGCCGATATTTCGCATTTTGGCTTTACCATCCTGATTCCAGTGGCCACTCATAATAAGCGCAGGAAACTTTATCCCGATTGCATTGTTTTCGTCGATATCGATTGGAGACTGGCCCCATTTTCGACCGTCACCTACGACGACAATTCATGTCAATGATAGCGTAGGATAACGGATAGGACGAATTTTCAAGGATAGTCTTACCTGCACACTGCATTCTCTTCTCT